TCGAGTTTTCAAGTTGATTTCGCACACAGACACATTTGTTTTGGCAACACGTCTCCGATCGCCGTAATCAGTTAATTTTCTTCTGACCGTTCTCATTCTTATTGAATCTGGCAGTGGTTTCTTTAGGAGGGGCACGGCGATTGTTTTCCGTACACCGCTATAATGCTGTCTCATTTCGCTTTTTAAACAATTTTCGACGCCCACATCGAGGGAGATTTTCTGTGGATACAGTTCATCGATACTTATGGACAATACCCGATCCATTATTGCATTAAGTCGCTCCGTAGGACCCACAAAGGTTGTAGAAGACCAATTCTAACACTGAATATCTACTGTTTTGATACTTTGTAACTAAACGTTAGTGTTGCAGCAATATTGCGCACAGAATAGAGGGACCAATATCAACTCACATAGGGATGTTTGGATCATATGACGCACCATTAAGGAAACAGTATATGCAGTTATCAAGCAAATGATGTTGCTTGATAACGGTTTTAGAATCTACACCGAAACGTCGCCCAATTGTAATAAAGAAGTTGCTCATCCATAACAATTTTGTCTTAGTTATTCAAAGCGCGACAATTCTACAACGTGACAATGCGACAAATGTCCAAAATGTCGCGCTTTGGTTAATTTTGACACTTTTTGCTTGTTTTAGAAAGGGCTACAATGCGACAACGCGACAATGTCCCATTTAGTATTCCATACGAAAAGTTGACAGTTTATCAACATATATTTAGCTCACCTGACTTAAAGGTCAATTGAGATGATATCTTGTTCTCTCGTCTCAAAATATAAAACATGCTCACAGAATTTCGATCTGAGTTTAAAAGGCTTCCACGACAGCCATATTGTCATTTGTGCCCATAACACCTATGTTGACGTGGAAAAACGTTTTCGGGAATATCTTGATTTTTGATCAAGCAACGACCCTTCACCTTCAGTTATCCTCATTCTGAAACCTCTGTGTTGATGATATGTTATTATGTGACCCCAGCAATGCTGCCTCTAAAATATGCTTACATAATTCTGATCCAACTTGAAAATGATAATTTAATATATCTAAGCCATGTCTGCATGTATCATTATTACAGGTTGATCCACATTACGTGGTATGTCTGTTGAATGGAGAGACCCGTGAAGATTCGGGGTAGAATAGGTCTTCAGCAACCCATACTTGCCGTAAAAGGCGATATGCTTGTCGTAAGAGGCTACTAACGGGATCGGGTGGTCAGGCTCACTGACTTGGTTGATGCATGTCATCGATCCCATTTGTGTGGATCGATGCTCATTATATTAATCACTGGATTCTCTGGTCCAGACTCACTTATTTACAGACCGCCGTCATATAGCTGGAATATTGCTGGGTGCGGCTTTAAACCGAAAACAAACAAATAAATGTTCAATGGCGACAGTTGTCATTTCACTTTCCTATCCTTACCATTTTTGCGATCTAATATTATATAATATTCAGAAATTTTAAGGTGAGCTGCTGGCCTTGGTGGCTCTATTATTATATTTATTAAAACATATGTGTTTACACCCTCATGTCATGGGATCAGTGACATAATGGAACATAGAAATATATATTATATCAACACACCTCAAACACCTCTTCTGCAAGAACTGAGTACAATACCATTGATAAATGCAAACATTAATTTTCAGCACACCCGAATTGCTTAAACTTTGAATCGGTTTTACTTGCATAAATTATTGATATAACAAAAAAGTGCATATGAAATATAATATATCAAAGCCAGAGAATAACGATCATCCGTCGAAAGTGTTTCCTGTGGGCGAAAGGCAAAATAAATGTGAACATTATATGAATGGATTACTGATGACGCGAGGTGTTCACGAAAAGGGTCCTGCCCTATCGGTAGCACCTGTCACTCATAAAGTTTGTAAAAAGACGTAAGTGTTTGTTTGTTGCCTGACGCCACACAACAGTACTTCTGACACACAACGGCGGCCTGTTTACCAGAAAATCAAGTGACATGATAGCGCATTTACTGATTTTGTTGAAAACAAAAACGATATTTAAATTTTGAATTACGAAGAAAATCATAAATCGCTCAAGAAACACGACATTAATTATGACCCGATGTGTCAGGACAATGATAAATGTTATGACCGCTTACGCAATATTCCAGCTACATGACGGCGGTCTGTAAATAATCGAGTCTGGACCAGGCAATCAAGTGATTGATATCATGAGCATCGATCCACGCAATTGGGATCGATGACATGCATCAACCAAGTCAGCGAGCCTGACCACCCGATCCCGTTAGTAGCCCTTTACGACAAGCATAGTCGCCTTTGACGGGAAGCATGGGTTGCTGAAGACCTATTCTACCCCGGAAAATTATCGCATGAAATGAGTGAGTTGATGTATTTATTTTGGCCCAATCTTATTTTTGACAACTGGCAATACATAATGGCAGCATAACGATAATGCCATTTCCCAACCGCAGCCAAATCTCAAACAGAAGTGATTGCTTTTGTTTACCAGCTAATGTTTATCTGTGCCGAAATTTAGGCTGGGATGGGTAACTCGGGTACCCGGGTCGGGTGGATACTCAGCAGGGCCCGGGTACCCACAGGACTACCCGGACCCGTGGTAGGTCACGTGATATATTGTTTAATGACAAAAAGTATCTAGAACTCTATGCTTACACTACAAGTCACTAATGTTCGCATTTCTTTCTGACTATGCGCCCATTCCTTCTGACTTTTCATATGGTTGAATAAAGATATAACTAATTTCGACTTCAGTGTATGAATGACCAGATTGTTTAATACATGTATCTAAATACGTTTTGCAAGTGCTGCGGAAAATTCCCTGTCGGACATTTTGTATATCTTGAGACCAACAGTGGGTACCTGGGTAGGGTCGGGTAATAGTGGAGTGGGTACCCGGGTAGTGAATTTGGACTCGTCCGAGCCCTAGCCGAAATCCATATCCACACTGTAGTCAGTTGTGTTGTGTACATCACTTCAACAATATTTCAATCATATCGTGCCCACAATGTAGTAGTAAATCCAGAAGTAACGCGGGTCTAAGATTGTGAGTTCGAACCGCGATTACGCAAGTTATGAACCTTGGTCAGTCTGAACCAAACACGCACTCTTAGATTTCACAAAACTATTAGAAATGTTCACGACCTGTGCCACCGTTTGTGGGTTTCTCCCTCGTGCAGCTGACAATCTGCGGTCTTATCAAACTAATGTTAGCCGAGCTTACCAATGAGCGTCAGTGCTGCAATATTTTGTGACGTTTAGACAAAGTATACGGTGTTCATGTTTGCATGGTATTCTGCGTCACTAATGTCTGAATACTATCAGGGGGATGAAGGATGGTTTCGTCTCCTAAATAAAACGTATATATACTCCGGACGGCTCCTACATTTAGCGGGGGCACGGGTGGCCCAGTCGTCTTAGGCGCCGTGATTCGCTGTGCAGAGTTGCGTCCCTTCGGCACGCCAGAAACCTATGATTGTGGGTTCGAATCCCGGTTCGCCCCAAATATGTTTCTAGGTGTGTCAGCACCATACCCGTGCTCGTGGGTTTCACCGAAGTGGTTAACGTCTGAAATCTGCATCACTTCGGGCTTTCCTCCCACATTAAGCTGACACGCCGCTTACTGTTAAAGCGGCGTTAAACCCAACTCACTCACTCATCCCTACATTTAGCTTGCCTAATTATATATATCATTTCAATTATACGTTTATTTAATTTCGAAATTCGAAGTTTTTTCTCATTACTTCGATTATATTTTAAATTTTGATTATTTATTAAGTTTATATGCTGTCTTTTCGAAAAATATTTTTTTTTTAAATCGAAAATTTCAGGTACACTGACCGGCTGACAGCCGACTGTTGTCCATATAAGGTATATTCTTAGAAACCCTCTGATGTTCTCAGTAGTACACTGACAAAAGGACTTCTTAGGTCTAGAGGAAGATCACCCTGACGACCGCTGCGCTGGAGCCATTGGTGCATTGCAGAGGAATCGGTTCAAGAGGCAATCGACACAGCTGACATTGATATTTCTGATAACTACACCACCACGAGACGAAGTAATCAATGCTATTAATACATTGGGTGTTGGGGTGACAAAATGCCCTTTTGGGTATCTTCTTTCATCTGTATTGATAGAGTTAGTGAGTGAGTTGGATTTAACGCCGCTTTTAACAGTATTCAAGTTATATCACGGCGTGTCAGCTTAATGAGGGAGGAAAGCCCGAAGTGATGCAGGTCTCAGACGTTTACCACTTCGGTGAAACCCACGAGCACGGGTATGGTGCTGAAAACCTAGAAACATAATCGGGGCGAACCGGGATTCGAACCCACAATCATAGGTTTCTGGCGTGCCCAAATTAGAATGGTTACTGTGAAGCTATATGTTAACTGTAATGTCTATCTTAATGCAAAGGTGTTCACCAGGGGCGAGACGTTATTTACGGTATTTACTGGTCCCCTCATACACATGACGTCTTCCAGACTTCTGTGTTAAACAACATTTAACCAATCACAAATATCAGTGGATCTGTCAAAATATCCCACTCACAAATATATATTTTGTAACACCTTTCCCCTCTTCCCAATCTTACGCACGCATACGCACGCACACGCGCACGCACGCAGAGAGAGAGAGAGAGAGAGAGAGGATAGACACAGAATCGTTCCCCATCATCCACTGCTTGTCAAAAATAGTTGCAAAGAAAACGTTTGTTTGTTTTGTTTAATGCAACACACAGCAAAATTCCAGCTATATGACGGTGGTGTTAAAATGTAATAGTAAAAGTCTTATCATGTACTTCGTCAAATAGACCCGTGAAGATCGGGTGTAGAATAAATCTTCAGCAACCCATACTTGCCATAAATGGCGACTATGCTTGTCGTAAGAGGCGACTAACGGGATCAGGAGGTGAGGCTCGCTGACTTGGTTGATACGTCACCGTATCCCAATTGCGTGGATCAATGCTCATGATGTAAGTCACTTGCTTCTCTGGTCCAGACTCGATTATTTACAGACCGCCGTCATATAGCTGGAATATTGCTGAGTGTGGCGTTAACAACAAACAAACAAACTACACAATCTGGTTAATCTGTATCGCCTAACTAGTTGAAGAATCTTACACTGCTTATAGTTGGGCGATGCTTATTAAATAAGTAGGTAAGACAGTGATACTGGTTACTCTTCACTGGCCTGTCTGGTGATTGGCACGTCTGACAATCGAGAGTGAACCCCCATCACGAAATGTTATCACTGAAACTGATTCACATCACATAACAACGGTCAATTATTAGTCCACTGATAGCAGAGCGCCACCAAAATAAGATCTTGTAAGCAAGGCCCCGTTCTGGTACAATGGGACCACCCACACCTGCTCCTCCTTGTCCAGATGGGCGACAGTTACAGCAGAAGCATCAGCAGTATTCATGCTCGAATGTATTTCCACGTACCCGGCCGCTAGCGCCATCCCTGCTTTCATGATGCGGACGTACATGCCTTCGTTATATCCCTTCACCTGCAGCTGTGTCCAGAACATGTAGGTTCCAGAGACGGGTGCGGTGAACTTCCCTGTGATGTTGTTGTAGCCAGAGCCGGCGTTGTGGTTGACGTTATAGAATTTCAGGGGTTTGTGAGCAGCGGCTGAGACAGGGGGTTCGTTTAGGTGGAATGCCACCGTTCTGGTCTTTGATACTGAAGTTTAAAATAAGGCAACTATCAAAGCATGCTTCTATGTATATTAGGGCTGCAACGATACACCTAAGTCACGATACGATACGTATCTCGATACTTACATCACGATTCGATACGTATCTCGATACTTACATCACGATTCGATACGTATCTCGATACGCTACGAAACATATTGTGACAAGAGAAGACAAGAGATAAATGAATATAACTTAGTTTATTAAAATGAAAAATTAAATGAAAGTGAATGAATGTTCATGAGTCATAAAATATATACTGTAATGAGTAATTTAACTTAATAAATCATCTGTGATTTCCATGTAATGGCTAGCAAACACAAAAGTAACAGTCCTACATATTTGGAAGTTGTGACTAGATGGTAGGAGTAAATACTAAATTTACCAGTGTCCAGTAACTAATGATTTGCCATTTTCATGCATAAAGGCAAAAAACAATTAAAAACAATTATAGCAACAGCCATGTTATACAACATTTGAAAGGTCTAATCCTGGTGTTTATAAAGATGAAAGTTATGTTTATCACATTATTTAAATAATGCATTGACAACTTAATTAAGTTCGTTGTAAATTATAAAAAATGTAAGCTAACACATTCATAACGTCCAAATTAAGGACCAAAGAAGCGAAAAATTGACGATTTGGGGCAAATATAAGATTTCAAAAGATCTACTTATCATTTCTTTTTTATTTTCATTATTTATTTATTTTAAAATATTTTTAAAAGAATTATGAATAGTATCTGTTTTCACCCATTTCCGGATAACAGCGGCTGTCCGCTCAGTAACATGAAGAGATACCTCCGTTTTTGAAAGCTTCGTATGAATAACACGTTCGTCGAAGAAAGCTTGTTTGTTCATCTGCACGCTCGTGACATTGCCTGGAGTCTTTTCGTTGCTATAACATCAGATTTCATTGGATAACAAATTGTTTCTAACGACGCTTTCTTGTCGAAATCTGCTATAAGGTTCATGATTGGTCAAATTGAGCACGTGACTTGAGGCAGGCAATCAAATTACAAATCCTCGTGTACGATGAATTTCAGATTTTTACGAAATATTTTGGTTAAATCGTGTTATTCTGAACGTTTTAAGCAGGAAATCGCGATCTATATTATAAATATGGAGCTTCGTGGATGTATCATTTTAGGTTAAAAGCTGTGACAAAGATTTTTCATGCATATATTTTGGCATTGAAATCGAGGCGACGAAAGCCGAGATGTCATTTGACTAACATTACACGCGATCGCATGAAAAGATGGAAATAATAACTTAGCTGTAAGTTTGACCACTTTTAGATATATTTTTATTGCTTTTATTTATCACTTTGTATAACATATTTAAAGATTTGCTTGAAACGTCTTTGTTTTGCTCTTTGACATGTTCGATGTGCACCCGTTGTCGAAGTGTGAGTCCGAGAATTATATTTTCAATGACATTGCGGGAAATAGTGAATAACTTTTTAATCTATCGATAAAAAATGATAAATTGAAATAGAATACGTATTTCAGACATTGTGAGATGTGATAGATTTAATAAATGAATGGTATGACAGGTAGGTTCTTAAAACTATATACTATTTTGACGTGACTACGGCTTGGCCGGTTAACCGGCCTACGGACCCTAGGGACTCGATGCTTCTTGGCCGGTTTACCGGCCTACGGCATTGAAAGAGTTAAAACACATTTAAAACGTATTCGTGATAAAAGTTTATTACAAAATACAAGACGTACATATATACGTCTTTGAAAAAACGTATCGTGAAAAATCGAGATTCAGCACCTCACAAATCGCACACCGTATCGTATGGAGTGAATCGCGATGCATCGGTGTCCCGGGATATCGTTTCAGCCCTAATGTATATTCGTGTAAAAATGTTTTAGTGAATTGAAATTATATCAATGCTGTAAAGATGTGTTTAGAGTGTTCAGCAAGACATGTTTTGATATAAATATGTTAAGGAATATGTATAAATCCTAAACGGAATATACATTTGGTCTAATCTAAACGACAAAATGCGACATTGTGTATTATCCAAATAATCTGAACATGTTTAGAATGTATAAATGTTTTAAATAAAGAACATATCATTGGGCAGTAAGTCAGATTTGGAGAAGGTGTGTAATAAAATAAAATTAGATGTAAAATCAGATTCACAGGCACTTGGAAAACGCTTATACCACCAGGGCCCACTTGCACAAAGCGATGTTAGTGCTACGACTATTGTAAGCCTATGTTAAAGTATGGGAGTTACGATCATCTTAGCTCTAAGATCGCTTTGTGCAACTTGCAACCCCCCCCACCCCACCCCACCCCCCACACCCCCCCCCCCCCCCCACACCCCCCCCCCCCCCCCACACACACACACACCCCCCACCACAATGACCCTTTCGGAATCCACCAAAAGTCATCCAGGGGCCCGAATTTAGGCCACTCGTACTCCCTCGTGCCCCATTGCATCGTTAAATAAATACATGTCACAATTGAACCACCAGAACCTTGCTTTCTACTAGCTTCCCCGCAAAACTGTCACTGCTGGTGATCCATGTTGGTACACTCTTAAACCACTTTGAAACTATCCTCCGTCCCAAATGACGAAAACAATTTCCAAGGAATCCTAAGTTAGTCGCATTTACACAAATCATTGCGTTTGGGCCTCCACTGTCACACTTTTGTCGCTTGCCGGGGTAGAGGCACGTGGAATCATCAATCTCACTCACTGGTCCTTATCAATAGTCCTTGATGAGTTAAAACACTGACTCGTCGGCCGTTCCGAAGAAATACCATTCTTCGATTCTGCAGGGTTCAGATTCGACAATCAGTATCCTCCACTGTCACTTCAAATTTCAATCTTGTTAAAACTGGCACGTCCGCCTCTTTCCAATTTTCAAATTGTTGCCTAACTGCCAACAACTGCTTCCAAGAAAAGAAATGACGTTTACAACTTCGGTGAAACCCACGAGCACGGGTATGGTGCTGACAAAGCTAGAAACATAATCGGGGCGAACCGGGATTCGAACCCACAATCATAGAGTTCTGGCGTGCCCAAGGGACGCAACTCTGCACTGTGAATCGCGCTGCCTTAGACGACTGGGCCACCCATTCCCCCTGTCTCAGAACAACACGTGATCACAAAGGGTGTGTGTCAGATTCCTCAGGTACATGTACTTGTGTGGGGGTTATGCACAAAATGTCAGCAGGGAGGACCCAACTTGTCAGCGAGCCAGATATAAGTCCCGAATGGCAACTGACGCTGGTAAAAAATGTCGACTAAATGTAACTATATTTGAAATTGTTTGATAAGATAGGAAATTAAAATGTACATCAACAACGTCAGTGAAAACCACGCCATAGCTGATGGACCCTCGTTGTCTGATAGAGAACGTGTATGACCGGAAGGTCGGTGGTTCGATCCTGCCTTTAAAATCCAGTACTGTTGTTACTCTGTCTTGGTCTGGGCATGAAGAGGTAAATAAATCTGTGTTGTCATTAGTCCGCAGTAGGACAAGCAGCAACACAAACCCGACCATGCCTGTCGTAAGAGGCGACTAACGGGATCGGGTGGTCAGGCCCGCTGACTTGGTTGATGCATGTCATTGTATCCCAATTGCGCGGATCGATGCTCATGATGTCATTCACTGGATGTCTGGTCAAGACTCGATTATTTACAGACCGCCGTCATATAGCTGGAATATTGCTGAGTGCGGCGTTAAACAACAAACCAACGCACGCACGCACACGCTTCAGTGCATCTTTTATTATTTTCTCATGATGTGCGATTGCCTGAGCACAATGTCGTCTTTATATCTGGCGTTACTGAAGGGGATGCAAGATGCTCTTCACTTTTGTAGCAATCATTGTACTTCCCGCTTTATAACCCACATTTCACCCCAGGTAGCTTGGCGTTGCTTTAAAGACAGGGGTGATGTCGTGTGTGATAGGGGATTCGTACAAAGTTAGTAGATGTCAATCACTGGATATAGTCTGGTCTGGACTCGAGTATTTACAGACCGCCGTCACATATCTGGAATATTGCAGAGTGCGGCGTTAAACAACAAACAAACAAATCCCAACTACCCAATACATTTTGTCGCCTCAGAGAAATGACAGTAGAGTGCTGATGACCTATTTTAACCTGGCGCTACAAACAGTCTTGCAGGTAACAAAGAGAGATCTATCGGTTTCTCTGGGAGAATATGGGAGACCACCCGATCAGATGTACGAATTAATAGACAGTTATTGAATCCCAGGAACAATTACTTGATGCTAAAATTTCACGTATTATACCTGAACGTTGAATTACAGACATGGTAACATGTGAAAACAGAATTTGAAGGTTCGAAATGAAATGACTTAGACCATTTCACCTCACCTCGCTGACAACGGTAAGCAGATGTTTTCACCATGCCTTGATATGTTCGTTTGACCTCTACCTCAGGTAGCTTGGTGTTGCTTTAAAGACATCGTGTGTGAGGGGGATTCATACAAGGTTAGTAGGATAGTTACTCGACTAAGAGATAAACATTATTTGTTTTCAGATTTCCGCGTTTTATATTTTTTCTTAATCACAGTTCTTAAATTGACAGACAGACAGAAGACGGCTTATAACTATTATTGTTTACAATGTCGATAGACATAAGTTTTCAGATATGCGGGTTTTATTCAGTGTCCAATTACCGTAAAATTTATCATTTGAAACCGACTACGTATTCAAATTGACATCCCCGAGAAACTGGAGCAACCTGTGTTATGTTTTAATCTAATTCACCTACCAACTATTATGACGCCATAAAGTTCGACAGATGAGATGTGTAATCAATACCCGGTGGTTAGCATAGATTCGATACCCGACGAATCAGAACGCAAGATGTAAATTATGTTAGAATTATAGCACTCGGTTTCAAATTATAATAAGACTTATCTAATCTACAGTTATATTACCTCAAATTTAAAAACACCATTCTGCCATTAGGACAAGAGCAGTTGTTGCTCTCTTGGCACATAGGCCAACTATCTTAAAACGTGCGGAAAAGAGGTCACAAACAAATGTTAAAAAATTACTCAAGTTCAGGATTGATTATGGTTTTACGCCGTTTTTAGCAATATTCCAGCAATATCACGGCGGGGGACACCAGAAAAGGGCTTTACACATTGTACCCATGTCGGGAATCGAACCCGGGTCTTCGGCGTGACGAGCGAACGCTTTAACCACTAAGCTACCCGATCGCCCCTCGTCCATTGAAGGTGTGCCAGGTTAGATACATAGTGACAACAATACGCTTGACTAATTTATTTCCTAAATAATATACAATCACAGGGTTTTAGTGATTTTGATGTTTATATATGTTCCAGTTTGTTTGATAACTCAGTAACAGTACCACATATTAAGAATGACTATCTCTCAATCCAGAACTTTGACATTACCAAACATTAAGCACATCTGATACTCTTTTCTGTCCATTATTATTTCGCTTTCCTCTTGATGTCTTGACAAAAATGCTGCCATTCAACTATATGGTTGTATTATCTGCTAGTGATAGTTGGTGTACGAGAATATCCGTGATCGATAGATCGACGTTGACAAATATATTGTTGATGTCATGAAATATTCCAAATATCTATTCAAGTTTCGATGACAAAAACGGCGGACAAAAGAACGTATACACCCATGTTTGATGGTGGAGTGTGCGGCCTCACGTTGTCGTGCTTTAACAGTGTTCGCTGTTGCTGACGGCGACGGATTTGTAACCACACGGGTTGACAAAGTCCTCCCTATAGATATGGTCGTTGAGGTCGTTGATAATGACAAGTTCCGTCCGTTGGTTGCCACAAATCGTCACCAAACCACCACCCTACCCCCAACATACAGATGCACTTCTGACGCCAGTTTCTGATAAACCCGAATTCGATCATCATTATGGAATAAGCCGAATCTGCTTTCGTCAAAAAACATATAATACCTCATTGCAAGAGAATAGCTAGTCTTGGTTATCCGCTAAAACAGATTCCATAAAACATTCTCTGCCAGCGTTACACTGTCCTTGTCCAGTGCCGTCTTCAACGTCAATGATTGTGGGTCAAGGTCATTCCAACGGATGTAAAGCTTCGAATATCTGCACAACAGAAACGTCGCAGCATAGTGCGTCGACTTATGCAGCGTCTCAATGCTGTCGCTGTGACGAAATACGGTCATCCTGTGGTCATCACTTGTTGTCTGGTTGATCTTGACCTGTCTGTGTTCTGCCAGTTTGCCTGTGAAGTCCAAACTTCCGCACGTGTACAGTTGATTGGTTTGTTGGTTGGTTTGTTGTTTAACGCCGCACTCAGCAATACTCCAGCTATATGACGGCGGTCTGTAAATAATCAAGTCTGGACCAGACAATCCAGTGATTGATATCATGAGCATCGATCCACGCAATTGGGATCGATGACATGCATCAACCAAGTCAGCGAACCTTACCACCCGATCCCTTTAGTCGCCTTTTACGACAAGCGTAGCCACCTTTTACGGCAAGCATGGGTTGCTGAAGACCTATTCTACCCCGGATCTTCACGGGTCTGTACAGTTGAAGTTTCTGTCAATCTGGATGAGGTTGGCACACATTTCCCTCATTCTTAAGTACCCCATCTCTATTGTGATGTTAATCTTTGTGCTTTTCCATTACCTGTGATGTTTTACCTGTGATTGCAATTTATATAATTCTTTTCACGTGCGTTCTTACGAGTACCTGGGAAAAAGGTGTTTAGCGACTTTTCACTGCTGCAAGTGCACCTTTTCAGCCTGGTAACGCATAATAACGTTTGAACTTTTTTGATCAAATCCAATTTTGAAGTGTATACTTTCTTTTGCCGGTAATTCATGTTTTCGTTCATATATATTCATTTGAAATGGACCTGGGTTAACAGTGACATTTAAACAGAAGTGCAGTGTTTTCAACTCACCGAGCGTTTGTGAAACCTGCGTCAGAGCCTGCTTGTTGTCCAGGGATTGCTTTTCAAGTCCAGACATGTTACTTTTCAAAGTTGAAATTTCGGAATTGGTCAGACTGAGGTTCGTCTCCACCACATTGAGATCTGACCTGGTGGCCTGAAGATCTTGTCTGACACCATGCACACCAGAAGACGTTGTATTTACATCCTTCTCAAGCTTATCGAGTCTTCTTTCTTCTTCCCTCTTCATCGTCTGTAATTCTGCCTGAGTAGACTGGAGGTCTTTCTTCGTACTCTGTAGCTCTGACTGTGTGTTCTGAAGCTTGTTCTTTGTCACCTGTAAGTCCGTTTGAAGCTGTGCAGTGGTTGTCTGGAGACTGGCCATATTCTGTTCCAGCAGAGAGACGTGACTCAAAAGACTGGCCATGTCAGTACTACCGACTGGCGTTGTCATGGGCAGAATAAGCCCCGAAAGTGACCCAGCCAGCAAAATACACAGAAACAGAACCACCACAGCCATGATGCCTCCTTGTACAATACAGTTTAGTTGACACTATGTTCTCCGTCTCACAGATATGAGGCTGTCTCAGAGATAATCTTGCAGATCATTTGACAGGTGCGTCTACAGGGAGATATGACTGGCAATTGTCCTATTTCATAATTATTTTTGTTTAAATCCTAGATTCGTGTGAGTTAGTATTGTTTTACGCCTCTTTTAGCAATATTCCAGCAATATCACGGCGGGGGACACCGTACCCATGTACCCATGTTGGGAATTGAACACGGGTCTTCGGTGTGACGAGCAAACACTTTAACCACTCGGCTACCGACCGCCCTAATTTATTATGAAATCTGACATCAAATAATATCTTGTACCTCTCCTCATTCGAAGTGAAAATGGGGTGTTTCCTCAAACAAATTATGTGAATGTAGCCAATTCTCTTCCACTGATTTGCCTACTTAACTGGTTTCATGTTCGCGAAAAGGGTAAGCAAGCTACTTAACTAGTTTCGTGTTCGCGAAAAGGGTAAGCAAGCTACTTAACTGGTTTCATGTTCGCGAAAAGGGTAAGCAAGCTACTTAACTGGTTTCATGTTCGCGAAAAGGGTAAGCAAGCTACTTAACTAGTTTCATGTTCGCGAAAAGGGTAAGCAAGCTACTTAACTGGTTTTCTTGTTCGCGAAAAGGGTAAGCAAGCTACTTAACTAGTTTCATGTTCGCGAAAAGGGTAAGCAAGCTACTTAACTGGTTTCATAATCGCGAAAAGGGTAAGCAAGCTACTTAACTAGTTTCATATTCGCGAAAAGGGTATTACTAAGCAAGCTACTTAACTAGTTTCATGTTCGCGAAAAGGATAAGCAAGCTACTTAACTAGTTTCATGTTCGCGAAAAGGGTATTACTAAGCAAGCTACTTAACTAGTTTCATGTTCGCGAAAAGGGTAAGCAAGCTACTTAACTAGTTTCATATTCGCGAAAAGGGTATTACTAAGCAAGCTACTTAACTGGATTCATATTCGCGAAAAGGGTAAGCAAGCTACTTAACTAGTTTCATGTTCGCAAAAAGGGTATTACTAAGCAAGCTACTTAACTAGTTTCATATTCGCGAAAAGGGTAAGCAAGGTTCTTAACTAGTTTCATGTTCGCGAAAAGGGTAAGCAAGCTACTTAACTAGTTTCATGTTCGCGAAAAGGGTAAGCAAGCTACTTAACTAGTTTCATATTCGCGAAAAGGGTATTACTAAGCAAGCTACTTAACTAGTTTCATGTTCGCGAAAAGGGTAAGCAAGCTACTTAACTAGTTTCATGATCGCGAAAAGGGTATTACTAAGCAAGCTACTTAACTAGTTTCATGTTCGCGAAAAGGGTAAGCAAGCTACTTAACTAGTTTCATGTTCGCGAAAAGGGTATTACTAAGCAAGCTACTTAACTGGTTTCATATTCGCGAAAAAGGGTAAGCAAGCTACTTAACTAGTTTCATGTTCGCGAAAAGGGTATTACTAAGCAAGCTACTTAACTAGTTTCATGTTCGCGAAAAGGGTAAGCAAGCTACTTAACTAGTTTCATATTCGCGAAAAGGGTATTACTAAGCAAGCTACTTAACTTGTTTCATATTCGCGAAAAGGGTAAGCAGGCTACTTAACTAGTTTCATATTCGCGAAAAGGGTAAGCAAGCTACTTAACTAGTTTCATATTCGCGAAAAGGGTAAGCAAGCTTCTTAACTAGTTTCATGTTCGCGAAAAGGGTAAGCAAGTTACCTAACTAGTTTCATATTCGCGAAAAGGGTATTACTAAGCAAGCTACTTAACTAGTTTCATGTTCGCGAAAAGGGTAAGCAAGCTACTTAACTAGTTTCATGTTCGCGAAAAGGGTATTACTAAGCAAGCTACTTAGCTAGTTTCATATTCGCGAAAAGGGTAAGCAAGCTACTTAACTAGTTTCATATTCGCGAAAAGGGTAAGCAAGCTACTTAACTAGTTTCATATTCGCGAAAAGGGTAAGCAAGCTACTTAACTAGTTTCATGTTCGCGAAAAGGGTAAGCAAGCTACTTAACTAGTTTCATATTCGCGAAAAGGGTAAGCAAGCTTCTTAACTAGTTTCATGTTCGCGAAAAGGGTAAGCAAGCTACTTAACTAGTTTCATGTTCGCGAAAAGGGTAAGCAAGCTACTTAACTAGTTTCATATTCGCGAAAAGGGTATTACTAAGCAAGCTACTTAACTAGTTTCATGTTTGCGAAAAGGGTATTACTAAGCAAGCTACTTAACTAGTTTCATGTTCGCGAAAAGGGTAAGCAAGCTACTTAACTAGTTTCATGTTCGCGAAAAGGGTAAGCAAGCTACTTAACTGGTTTCATAATCGCGAAAAGGGTAAGCAAGCTACTTAACTAGTTTCATGTTCGCGAAAAGGGTAAGCAAGTTACTTAACTAGTTTCATATTCGCGAAAAGGGTATTACTAAGCAAGCTACTTAACTAGTTTCATGTTCGCGAAAAGGATAAGCAAGCTACTTAACTAGTTTCATGTTCGCGAAAAGGGTATTACTAAGCAAGCTACTTAACTAGTTTCATGTTCGCGAAAAGGGTAAGCAAGCTACTTAACTAGTTTCATATTCGCGGAAAGGGTATTACTAAGCAAGCTACTTAACTAGTTTCATATTCGCGAAAAGGGTAAGCAAGCTACTTAACTAGTTTCATATTCGCGGAAAGGGTATTACTAAGCAAGCTACTTAACTAGTTTCATGTTCGCGAAAAGGATAAGCAAGCTACTTAACTAGTTTCATGTTCGCGAAAAGGGTATTACTAAGCAAGCTACTTAACTAGTTTCATATTCGCGAAAAGGGTAAGCAAGCTACTTAACTAGTTTCATATTCGCGAAAAGGGTAAGCAAGCTACTTAACTAGTTTCATATTCGCGAAAAGGGTAAGCAAGCTTCTTAACTAGTTTCATGTTCGCGAAAAGGGTAAGCAAGTTACCTAACTAGTTTCATATTCGCGAAAAGGGTATTACTAAGCAAGCTACTTAACTAGTTTCATGTTCGCGAAAAGGGTAAGCAAGCTACTTAACTAGTTTCATGTTCGCGAAAAGGGTATTACTAAGCAAGCTACTTAACTAGTTTCATGTTCGCGAAAAGGGTAAGCAAGCTACTTAACTAGTTTCATATTCGCGGAAAGGGTATTACTAAGCAAGCTACTTAACTAGTTTCATGTTCGCGAAAAGGGTATTACTAAGCAAGCTACTTAACTAGTTTCATGTTCGCGAAAAGGGTAAGCAAGCTTCTTAACTAGTTTCATGTTCGCGAAAAGGGTAAGCAAGCTACTTAACTAGTTTCATGTTCGCGAAAAGGGTATTACTAAGCAAGCTACTTAACTAGTTTCATGTTCGCGAAAAGGGTAAGCAAGCTACTTAACTAGTTTCATATTCGCGGAAAGGGTATTACTAAGCAAGCTACTTAACTAGTTTCATGTTCGCGAAAAGGGTATTACTAAGCAAGCTACTTAACTAGTTTCATATTCGCGAAAAGGGTAAGCAAGGTTCTTAACTAGTTTCATGTTCGCGAAAAGGGTAAGCAAGCTACTTAACTAGTTTCATGTTCGCGAAAAGGGTAAGCAAGCTACTTAACTAGTTTCATATTCGCGAAAAGGGTATTACTAAGCAAGCTACTTAACTAGTTTCATGTTCGCGAAAAGGGTAAGCAAGCTACTTAACTAGTTTCATGATCGCGAAAAGGGTATTACTAAGCAAGCTACTTAACTAGTTTCATGTTCGCGAAAAGGGTAAGCAAGCTACTTAACTAGTTTCATGTTCGCGAAAAGGGTATTACTAAGCAAGCTACTTAACTGGTTTCATATTCGCGAAAAAGGGTAAGCAAGCTACTTAACTAGTTTCATGTTCGCGAAAAGGGTATTACTAAGCAAGCTACTTAACTAGTTTCATGTTCGCGAAAAGGGTAAGCAAGCTACTTAACTAGTTTCATATTCGCGAAAAGGGTATTACTAAGCAAGCTACTTAACTTGTTTCATATTCGCGAAAAGGGTAAGCAAGCTACTTAACTAGTTTCATATTCGCGAAAAGGGTAAGCAAGCTACTTAACTAGTTTCATATTCGCGAAAAGGGTAAGCAAGCTTCTTAACTAGTTTCATGTTCGCGAAAAGGGTAAGCAAGTTACCTAACTAGTTTCATATTCGCGAAAAGGGTATTACTAAGCAAGCTACTTAACTAGTTTCATGTTCGCGAAAAGGGTAAGCAAGCTACTTAACTAGTTTCATGTTCGCGAAAAGGGTATTACTAAGCAAGCTACTTAGCTAGTTTCATATTCGCGAAAAGGGTAAGCAAGCTACTTAACTAGTTTCATGTTCGCGAAAAGGGTATTACTAAGCAAGCTACTTAACTAGTTTCATATTCGCGAAAAGGGTAAGCAAGCTACTTAACTAGTTTCATGTTCGCGAAAAGGGTAAGCAAGCTACTTAACTAGTTTCATATTCGCGAAAAGGGTAAGCAAGGTTCTTAACTAGTTTCATGTTCGCGAAAAGGGTAAGCAAGCTACTTAACTAGTTTCATGTTCGCGAAAAGGGTAAGCAAGCTACTTAACTAGTTTCATATTCGCGAAAAGGGTATTACTAAGCAAGCTACTTAACTAGTTTCATGTTTGCGAAAAGGGTATTACTAAGCAAGCTACTTAACTAGTTTCATGTTCGCGAAAAGGGTAAGCAAGCTACTTAACTAGTTTCATGTTCGCGAAAAGGGTAAGCAAGCTACTTAACTGGTTTCATAATCGCGAAAAGGGTAAGCAAGCTACTTAACTAGTTTCATGTTCGCGAAAAGGGTAAGCAAGTTACTTAACTAGTTTCATATTCGCGAAAAGGGTATTACTAAGCAAGCTACTTAACTAGTTTCATGTTCGCGAAAAGGATAAGCAAGCTACTTAACTAGTTTCATGTTCGCGAAAAGGGTATTACTAAGCAAGCTACTTAACTAGTTTCCTGTTCGCGAAAAGGGTAAGCAAGCTACTTAACTAGTTTCATATTCGCGGAAAGGGTATTACTAAGCAAGCTACTTAACTAGTTTCATATTCGCGAA